ATTATTATTATTATTATTATTATTATTATTATTATTATTATTATTATTATTATTATTATTATTATTATTATTATTATTATTATTATTATTATTATTATTATTATTATTATTATTATTATTATTATTATTATTATTATTATTATTATTATTATTATTATTATTATTATTATTATTATTATTATTATTATTATTATTATTATTATTATTATTATTATTATTATTATTATTATTATTATTATTATTATTATTATTATTATTATTATTATTATTATTATTATTATTATTATTATTATTATTATTATTATTATTATTATTATTATTATTATTATTATTATTATTATTATTATTATTATTATTATTATTATTATTATTATTATTATTATTATTATTATTATTATTATTATTATTATTATTATTATTATTATTATTATTATTATTATTATTATTATTATTATTATTATTATTATTATTATTATTATTATTATTATTATTATTATTATTATTATTATTATTATTATTATTATTATTATTATTATTATTATTATTATTATTATTATTATTATTATTATTATTATTATTATTATTATTATTATTATTATTATTATTATTATTATTATTATTATTATTATTATTATTATTATTATTATTATTATTATTATTATTATTATTATTATTATTATTATTATTATTATTATTATTATTATTATTATTATTATTATTATTATTATTATTATTATTATTATTATTATTATTATTATTATTATTATTATTATTATTATTATTATTATTATTATTATTATTATTATTATTATTATTATTATTATTATTATTATTATTATTATTATTATTATTATTATTATTATTATTATTATTATTATTATTATTATTATTATTATTATTATTATTATTATTATTATTATTATTATTATTATTATTATTATTATTATTATTATTATTATTATTATTATTATTATTATTATTATTATTATTATTATTATTATTATTATTATTATTATTATTATTATTATTATTATTATTATTATTATTATTATTTATAGTAGTATTTAGGTAAGGAGAGCAAGTAGCATTTTAAAAGGTGAAAACGTTGTTTTTTGAAATATATTTTTAGAATTTTTTCGAAGATATATTTTTTGAATAAATGTATTTATAAAATTGGAGTCTGACTCAAAAACAAATGAAATGTGTGTATTAAAGTACGTTTGGAGATACATCTTTAAAAATTGGAGACATTTTTAAAATTTTGCATGGTACTTAAGAAATATATAGGGTGTAATAAGAAATGCTCTAAATTTACATAATTCAAATACCAAGTGTGGTTGTGTATTTGCTTTTGTATCATTTTCAACTTATGAATTTTACATAAATGGTGTGTTTTGTGAAATTTGATATTATTATTACTTATCTAAAATATGGAGGTTCGTGTCCATGTTCCCCACAAAAGTAGGGGTAATAACGGTTCTACGCTTCTAAAAGAGGATATAATAGTTGCTGATTGGATACAAGAATTTGTACCCAATAGACCTTTATAAATACCTCAACTAAGGAAGTTGAGGGGGATTGAATTCACTCAGGAATCAAAGATACAAAGTTTCTCATCATCACGCATGAACTTGCTATAAAACCAATAACAACCCTACAATCCTAAGACAATTTTAGATAGTTAGGAGTTATCACTCATTGTACTTTTAAAAAATACAATTGACATCCATCGTGGGGTCTGAATAAAACTAACATGTGTCACATTCCTCATCATTCACCATTACTTTTGTCACCTTCTCCACGAGGATAACAAAACAAAGGTCAAATATCATTGTAACACCATTGCAGGAGGTTTTACTAGTGATGGAGAATCAAATTCTTCATGGCTGAAGCATATCATATAGATATTGTCGACGAGCGTTATACTTGTCGGTTATAAAATAAGATTAAATAAGGAGTTAGAGTTTAAAATCACCTTCTCCAGCGAAGACTCTATTGACATCCTCCATCATAACAATAATTTTATTGTCATCACCATACAATATGATAATGGGTATATAAAACGGGTGTTGATTAACCCAGGCTACAAACCCTAAGTTTTATAGATGCTTATTTTGACTACAATCAAATTAAGATGGACCTTTTGGACGCACCCAAGACAACATTCATGATTAATCATGACATATACTACTACAATGCCATGTCTTTTGGACTAAAAAATGTGGGTACCATCTACCAAAGGCTTATGTAGGAATAACGAAAAAACCGTATCCGCGGATATCTGCAGAAAAAATCTGTCACGAATATGGGGCGGATAGCTTAATGGATATCCACGGATAAAATAAATTGATATTTAAATATTCTTTTGTTAATGGATATGGATACAGATTTAATGATATTCGTGTCTGCAGATATCCATATCTATTAATAAAATTTAAAAATCATATAAATATTATTCGTTTATTATAACTTATCTCTTCATCTTTTAAAAAAATTAGTCTTCTTATATATATATATATATATATATATATATATATATATATATATATATATATATATATATATATATATATATATATATATATATATATATATATATATATATATATATATATATATATATATATATATATATTGAAATTTTCTTTTAAAAAAACCTTTCACATTTTATTTTATTTCTATTAGCCATTTCAATATTTAACCAGTATTTTTATATTGATCATAACATCGTGAAGACATAGGGGAGAGAAACCATTATACAATTTTAAAAGATATTCTAGAATCATTTAAGGGATGCGCTTAAACCACATTAAATGCTCTTTGTTGTATAGACAGATATATTTTTGTGATTTATGTTAACTAGAACACGGATATAGGAAAATACAGGCAAGTGTCAATCCATCATCACTCTGAGAATTCTATATTGATATGCTCACTATCTAAAAGTCCTGCAGCTATATAACACTAATATCTTTGAAAAAAATTGTGTTTATGTGCGTGTTTATGTCGAACCCTTACATTAATATTTGTGATTATGTTTAATTTTTTTTAATTTTAAATTATGGTTGGTGTCAGTGTGCCAATATTAAAGTCATATTCAGAGTGTTTGTGCTTCATAATTTTGAGTGTTGTCTGAGTGGTTTCATATGCTATAATGACTTCTTAACAATCTAGTAACATTACTTAGATACAAAATTCATTACATATATTAATTTAGCAAGAAAAAACTGTTAAATTCACAAACGAGTACTTTCAATACACAGTACTTTCAATACACAATACAATAAATTATGAGTTGATGACAAACAAAAAGACAGAAATAATATGAAGTATTCCTAATTTTAACAATTTTAACTTTTACTGCTTAAAATTATATTTTTGGTCTTTTTAATTTGATGATTTTTAATTTTTAATCCTTTTATTAAAATTAGTTTTTTATTCACTTAACTTTATTTAAAATTTTGTTGATTTTCCTTCAATTTTATAAATTAAACGACATGATTAGAGAAAAAAAATATTTTTTTTTTTCCTTTATTTTGATGTTTTCTTAAAACTTATAATCATTCTATTTTAAAATTCAATTTTTTGATCCATAGTTTTAAAAATCAGATCGGACTGATTGAACCAGGAGCTGAAGTGATAATCGATTGGTTCATTTGTTGGATTGTCATGTAATTGAACCAATGAAAATCGATAAACGGTGTAGATTTGTAAAAACTGGAAAATCAACGGTTTAATTATTTTTTTTAAAAATTTAAATGACGTTGTTTTTAATTATTTAAAAAATAAAATAAAAATATTTTTGGTTCATAGTTTTAAAAATCAGATTAGGCCGGTCAGACTGAGAACCGAAATGATAACCGATCTGATTCATTTGTTGGATTGGTTATGTAATTGAACAGAACCGATAAAATTTGGTGTAAACTTGTAAAAACTATAAATTGATGGTTTAAGTGTTTTTTTTAAAATTTTAAACCAGGTCGTTTTTTATTATTTGAAAATTTTTATTATTTAAAAAATTAAAATAAAGTATTGATATAAGAGAAAGAGAAGAATTTTTTTTAAAGTAGCAATGTTATATAATTTAATTACCAAATAAAACAAGCCAAACTTTGAAACTCATCCAGCAAGCATTCGCCAAATGGTTTGGGGAATTAGTTAAAATGTTGTTTCAAGGCCTTCGCCAAATGGAATGGCGAATTAGGCCGTTCGGGAATTGGTCAATGTGTTGTCGCCACATGAATTGGCGAATGTGACTAATTTTTAGGGTTTTCAATTTTTTTTTATTTTTTTATTTTGAATATTAAACTATTTTGATTATTTTTATAATTTTAAATTTAAGTTTTAAAACATTTTAATGTTTTTATATATTTTTTTTAAATATATGATAAAAAATACAAGAAAAACGAAAAAAAATTAGAAACTCTAAAAATTAGCCACATTCGCTCATTCATGTGGCGACAACACATTGACCAATTTCCGAATGGCCTAATTCCCTATTCCATTTGGCGAATGTCTTGAAACAACCTTTTAACTAATTCGCCAAACCATTTGGCGAATGCTCGCTGGATGAGTTTCAAAATTTGTCATTTTGATAGTTTTTTTAAAAGCTTGTTTTATTTGGTAATTAAATTATATAACATTGCTACTTTAAAAAAAATTCGAAAGAGAAAGCTAGGATTGGTTATATAATTGAATCTATGAGAATCAATAAAAATCAATGTAAACCGGTAAAGCAAGATAGACTTTGTTTCGATTATATTCGCTGTGTAAATCGGATTCAGAATTATTTCACTTTTTTGATTATATTCGCGTGTAAATCAGATTCAGAATTATTTCACTTTTTTCTAGGGTTTTTTCATCCCTAATTCGAGGGTTTATTGCTCAAATTTAGATCCTATTTTGAGTTGAACAAATAGTTTGAAGATTTATTTACTTTGCCTATTAGGTTTTCATTGTAGGTTCGTCAATTTTTGTTGTTGTTGTTGAAGTTAGGGTTCATGGCTGATCGGAGTTTGGCAGTTGTGAAGCCGGTATGGATGAAACAAGCTGAGGAAGCTAAGATCAAAAGCGAAGCTGAGAAAGACACGGCGGCAAAAGCTGCTTTCGAAGCAAGTTGTAAGGGTTTGGAGATGGCTCATAAGCCGATTGGGCCTGTGGATCCTTCGAAGTGCACTGCTGCTGGTACTGGAATTGCTGGAGGAACGGCTTGTGCTGCTTCTTCGTTCGGTGTGGTGACCAAAGATTCCGATGAGAGGAAGGTTTTGACGGGTGGTGCTCAGATCAAGGTGAAAGTGACACCGGGTTTGGGTGTTGGAGGGTCTGATCAAGAAGGGATTGTGAAGGATATGGGGGATGGAATTTATACGGTTATTTATGGGTTAATATCCACTCCATTTCTTTGTTCCTCCATTTTCTCCTTTACTATATGCATTTCTATGACATGTGACATATAATTAATATTTAGTTGATTATATATATATAAAATTATAGTAATGGAGAAAATGGAGGGACAAAGAAATGGAAAGCCAATCATGGGTCCTTTCCATGTGTTTTTTACTGCAGGTACTAGTAAAATATTAGTAAAATATTCGGGTTCATTAATTTTAATTGATATATAATTTACCATTAATTTTAATTGATATATAATTTATTTATATGTATTTGTAAATATGAATTGATAAATATAATTATCTAATGAAAATTAGTTATATTAAATGAATAATATATTAAATGAAATGATTAATTTTTTATGGTAATTTGGTTAAAATTAATTAGATGTAGTAAGTTAAATGTATTGTGACAATTTACAACTGTTAGATAAGTTACATAAGGTGGTCATTAGAATATATTAAGTAATGGTTGAGCAAGTACACAAACTAAATATGTGACAATTATATTTAATGCCGAAGATGTTAGATAAGTTACATAAGGTGGTCATTAAAATATATTAAGTAATGGTTGAGCAAGTACACAAACTAAATATGTGACCATTATATTTAATGCCGAAGATTTCACAAGTGGACAACCTGTCAACAATAGCCCTTCTATAATAAACTTGATTCAAGTAGCAGCTTAAACTTTTATCTGATTCAAATACACCTGAAAATAGAGACATGAGTAACAATAAGTAAAACCATCAGTGATAAAAATCTAACATCTATTCTAAATAGTAAAAACACCTGAAAATGGAGACATGAGTAACAATAAGTAATACCATCAGTGGTAAAAATTTAACATCTATTCTAAATAGTAAAAACACCAAGGGAAGAATATGAACAAGCATGGATCCTAAAAAAGTGCAGATTCGTTCGATAGATCTTTTAAGATTCATGTTCATGGAAGATGAAATTCAATCAAATGTTACCTGTAATGCCAAAGAAGCATGACTTACACATACGAAAGCATATGCTTGCTTCACCTTATATTTATTTACACCTTTTCTTCGTATTTTTCAAAACAAAACAAAAAATCTTAAAGAGATTGAATTCATTGTGTACGCATTGTGAATCCTAGAGCTTTGAAAAGGTTTAGACCAAAACATGCTCAAGAAAATTATCAGAGATTTGCTAGAAAAAGATCATTGTTCACTGCTAATAAAAATGTATGCCAAATGTTAAAAATCAACCTTCCAATTTTAATGTGTATTAAGTTCAAGATGATAGCTACTGAGAATAAATAGCGTTAGTAGGTTCGGTAGTAAGGCCAAACCCAAATGGAAAAAGAGGATCATAATGAGCATCTCCAACATTCATTGGAAGTTGATCAACACTTTTGAACCATGTTCTTGGAAGCTTTCCTGTGAAACCATACTCCCCAAACAAAACATCAGCCACGCCTTGTCCTTCACTACCTGGTAGCCAACCAGCAACAACTGCATCCATCAAACCAACATATGGTTCGATAACCAAAGGCCGGCCGGAGATAATCACAACCGCACATTCTATAGCTCCACAGACTTCGGAATTGTCAAGTTCATGTTGTCACCATGCATTTCAGCATAAGGTTTCTCTCCTACTACGACTATAGCGTAGGAAAAACCATTGGATTTAACAAATTCTATATCAGGGTTCTCCTCGTAGATCACTATCGTCTCTGGATCAACCGTGTTCTTTATAGCATCGAGAATTGTAGTCCATATCAAGAATGTTTACAAGAATAAGGATCGATGATAACTATGAGTTATATATGATTAAAATCAAACATTTTTAATGATCTAACGAATATGTCTGGTTGACATTGTAAAACGTTTTTATAGCAACTGTACATATCAATCAAAATGAATCATACCTTCGAGAATATCGTTGCCACTGACTCCTTGCCATTCAATGGTCCAGCCACCACACTGATATCCTAGATTATTTGCATGGCTTCCGGCCACAAGAATTTTCGGAACCTTTTTAGGAAGTGGTAGCAAAGGCTTTTCATCAGATTTGAATAAGCATAGAAGAGATGATTATAAGTTATATTAAGTTGTTACCTTAATGAAGCTAAAGGAAAATAGCAAACCTTAGTCCCAAGACAATTAACCAAACTATAATCAGCAAAAGGGATCTCGAAAATTCCCATCATGAACTTAACGCGCAAAATTCTTTCTCACAGCATCATCAATTCGACTCATAGGAATGACTTCATTTTTCACCAATGTTGTTAGATCGTCAATGAATTCCTTGTAGAACTTAGGAACCATGAACTGCAATAATGCAAACCAAAGTAAATTTTGTAAAATGTATTAAACTGCTCAGATCAAGGAGGAAGGTTTCGACGGGTGGTGCTCAGATCAAGGTGAAAGTGACACCGGGTTTGGGTGTTGGAGGGTCTGATCAAGAAGGGATTGTGAAGGATATGGGGGATGGAACTTATACTGTTACTTATGTGGTGCCTAAGAGAGGGAATTATATGGTCAATGTTGAATGTAATGGAAAGCCAATCATGGGTAGTCCTTTCCCTGTGTTTTTTACTGCAGGTATTCATCATTACTCATGTGCTGGCACTTTAATGTTGTTTGTATTTGAATGTAAATATGTTAAACTGCTGTGTAGCTCTTTTGAGTTGTTATATACGATGTCAATAGCTATTGGCCGCTGATGAAAGTATTTAGCGAGCAGTTTGCTATAATGGCCATTATCAGGCCTCGATTGCAGATACATGTTTCAGAAAAATATTTGTTTTATATGTATATTATTTATAATATCCCACCACATCGTTTTGTGGGAAGCCACTACGTGTCACTATCCGGGATTGATAACTACAATTTCTGTTCGGTCTCTCTTTTATACCTATCAAATTTTGGCCTGTTTGATAACCTCTATGGTAGTTAAATTTCAATATCTTGATTTGTTTATGTTGTAGGTAATAGTAATGGAGGACTGCTAGGTTTAGCTCCTCCATCTTCATTTCCAAATCTGGTTAATCAAACTATGCCCAACATGCCAAATTACTCTGGCTCTGTCTCAGGGTCATTCCCAGGATTGTTGGGAATGATTCCAGGAATTGTTGCCGGAGCTTCTGGGGGTGCAATTCTGCCCGGAATTGGGGCCTCACTCGGCGAAGTTTGTCGTGATTACCTGAATGGGCGCTGTGCAAAAGTTGATTGTAAGTTGAATCACCCACCTCACAATTTGCTAATGACTGCCTTAGCTGCGACTACTTCAATGGGAACACTCAGCCAGGCTCCTATGGCACCTTCTGCTGCTGCAATGGCTGCCGCTCAGGCAATAGTTGCTGCCCAAGCCCTTCAAGCTCATGCAGCTCAGGTTCAAGCTCAATCAGCAAAAGATTCTGCTGGTATGATGTGTGATATTTTAATTTTTGTTGTGTTGGGTGATATGTTCTTCATTCCCTAGCTCTTATATATGAGGGGTACTTATTCTCCTTAATATTGCACTATACTTGGTTATGGCTTTGTTGGCATTTTTTATTGTCTTTTTACTGTTTCTAGTTGCTCATTACAACTGATTTTGCTACCACTATTAGGTTCACCTGATAAAGCTAATAAGGAGTATGTGTTGAAGAAAACTCTTCAAGTTAGCAATCTTAGCCCACTTCTTACTGTGGAGCAGCTTAAACAACTCTTTGGTTTCTGTGGCACTGTTCTTGATTGTACAATCACTGATTCCAAGCATTTTGCTTATATAGAATACTCAAAACCCGAAGAGGCTGCTGCTGCTATGGCATTAAACAACATTGATGTTGGGGGGCGTCCTTTGAATGTTGAAATGGCAAAATCCCTTCCGCCAAAACAAACTACAAACTCTTCACTTGCTTCATCCTCTCTTCCTTTGATGATGCAGCAAGCTGTTGCCATGCAACAAATGCAGTTCCAGCAAGCACTGATTATGCAACAAACTATGACTGCACAACAGGCTGCTAACCGAGCTGCAACCATGAAATCTGCCACAGATTTAGCCGCAGCACGGGCTGCAGAAATAAGTAAGAAATTGAATCCTGATGGACTTGAAAATGAAGAAAAAGAGACGAAACAGAAATCCAGATGTGATGATTTGTCAATTGTTTTAAGACTAATGTGGACTATTTTTGTTTGCTTGGTTGTTGTATAATATTTTTGCTCACTGTTTAATTTTTTTCAATTTTTTTTATTGTTGTAACTGTTTGAAATTCATTAGTAGTATGCCCTGCACATGTAATTTAGGAATCACGAGCTTACAAGACAGTGCTTCAAAAAACATTAGATGTAGCAAATTGAGCAAAAGAGCCTTAAATGTGTGTATAAGATTGTCACATAACAAATCAGGCAAACTGAAAGCCATAGTCATTTACTTTATAAGATCTGCCATAAAGAACACATCCCTTTTATACGTTGTTTGTTGCATCTCCTCTCTCTCCCTCTCTCTGGTGTCTGTAATTCCTTTGGTGAAATACTTTGTTTTATAGAACATAATGAGGTTAAGTAGATCAGTATATTACATTATAATGTAATGATGGTGCCAAAACATGAGGCAAAGCCGAACGGTATGCTACATTTAAATATCCAGATAGTATAGAAAAATAAATATATAGCTACTTATTAATGGACTTCTTTATAAAAGAAAGTGTTCGTCTTATGCATCATCACTATTATACTGAGGTGAGTTCCATGATGCTTGATATGTTTTTCTTATGTGTGAGCAGAAAGGATATTTTTCATGAAAAAAGCTATGTACAATTTGGATAATAAATTTGTTTTAAGTACATAATTGAGCTCATACCTTAATGGCTGGCAAAATTATTATAGGTTTCAAACTTCAGAGTAGTGTGGTTGAAATTTTTGAATCAAATGAAATTCCTATTTTTTTTTCTAGTTAGAAATGGCAGCCCTACATTTGTAGAAGTCAAAGGCAGCTAAAGTAAGAAGGAAGTAACATGTTGTTGGTTTCACCTGGCAATTGGCAACTCTATCAGGATCTGTTTATTTTGAAATGATCTATTGTGACAGAATCTTGTTTTGCATGACTTTTTTGAATTATGTATCCTTCATTACCCTATTGTAATTTATTTTATTTTCATAGGTCTCTGAAACTAAAGTTCAATTCCCTTTTGTAGATCACCTTCTCCCCCTCCTGTAAGATCACGATCAAAGTCAAGATCACCTATCAATTACAGGAGAAGGAGGAAGTCCCGTTCCTACTCACCTCCCCGCAATTCTAAGGTTAATCGGTCCAGGTCACCAATGAGGTTCCATCATCATTCAAGGTATGAAAGGGACTGGAGGTCCTATAGAGGCAGCAGGGAACATAGTGATAGGTATAGACGACGAGATTCAGATAGATTTCTTGATAATCACTCATCTGGTTCGAGAAGAAACAGAAGTAGGAGTGTGAGCCCTCATTCAAAGAGATCCCCCGTTTCTCCAAAACGTCAAGGAGGAAGTTCATCTCATAGAGGAAGAAAACAGTCTCGTGCCGATTCTGGTTCTCCAAGTAATCGTAGAGGAAGTAGGTCTTCTCCGAAGGTTGTTGAAAAGGCAATAAGAAACAGAAGGCGCTCAAGGTCAAGATCTTCAGATGATAAGCTGAACTTAGACAAAAATGAAGAAGTCTTGCATGAAAGGGCCAAACAAAGAGAGCGAAGGAGGTCCAGGTCAGTATCTGTGGATGAGAAGCCTCACAGGAGCCGATCTTCCCCAAGAAAAGTGGGCGAAAGCTACCATCACTTTGACATTTGTGCCTTTTATAACATAGACTTTGTTTTAACGAATTCTTGGTTGATTTCTAAATTTGTGTTTTGATATGCAATCTTTATCATCTATTTTTAAGACACTTTTTCTTTTACAAATATATTAGACACTGTTTAAAGTAAGATATTTGGACCGGTAGAGAACATGAAATATAAACAAAAACAAAAATCAACTTGCCACATAGACTTTATTTGAATTCTTAGTTGGATTCTAACGTTAGCATGTGTTTCACACTTCCTAAGCATTAAAACGTGAAAAATAGTCTATCACCACCTCTTCCTTCCTCAGCATTAAAAGATGAAATATAAGAGATTAAAATATTAACATAAAAGGCCATATACTTAAAGACGTGAGAAATCTTCAAGAGGCCTTTGCTCTTGTGTTTTTGCTTCCACTGAAAATCACAGCATCACTTAAAACAGAAGCAGAAGCACTTGTCACCACCTCTTCCTTCATGGTCACTCACCATATTCACCAACCATATCAACCTTTGCAATTGACAACACACTTATAACTGTCTCAAAGATAATCTTGTCTAATGCCAATATCAGCGGAAAACTCGCTGACTTGGATTTTAATTCTCTTCCAAACCTTACCTTCCTCAACCTCAATGGAAATAGGTCAACCTCTCCAAACTCAGTTTCTTGGATTTGAGACACAGCTTAGTTGAAGATACACTCCCTTCTGAGTTAGGCCAGCTAAGGGCACTTCAACATGTTAGTTTTTCCGACAACAATCTCAATGGCAACCAATGACTTCAATGAAAAGTATTGCATTGGAATAGGAGGATTTGGAAGTGCTAATAGAGAAGATTTACCTAGAGGTCAAGTTGTTGCTGTCAAAAGTGATTGTTCTCCACCAATCGTGCCCAAAGATATCACACTGAATAATATACTACTGGATTCAGATTTTGGCACTGCAGCTAAGCTCTAAAAATTCAACCTGCACTTCAGTGGGCTCCAGGTACACAATCCATTGAATGATTGGCACATATATTATCTCTACAATTTAAAATTTTTGGATACATACCCAAAGAGAATTCTTCAACATCCTATACTCAAACAAAATAGTCGCAGTAACAAATATGATAATCATTAAATGACTCTTTAAGTGAACAACATATCAGATGATATTAAGTATTTAAAGAAAATGCATTACTTTGAAACTCATTATAGCAAATGCTAGAGAATAGAGTATGTTAGACCATATCACTAAGTCAGAGTAAAAAAAATCAAAATTTAAAACTTCATGTAAGAATTTAACTATGTTTAGATGATCAAAATGACAATTACATATTTGTAAGTTACGTAGCATTATAAAAATTAAGTCATATCTCATTGAAACAAATCTAAAAACAAAAACAAAAAAAAACATCTTATATTAAAGAATCAATATTTCGGAATCAAAACAAATCTAAAAACAAAAACTATCTTTTATTTAATAATCAAAACTTCAACAAATAATACATCCATATCTAGCAAAAGACAACCCTAACAAGAACAGTTTTTTTATGTCACTAAAACAAAAATGATGTGAATGATGGTCTTGATGAAAGCATTGAGATATCAATTTCAGCATTCACTTTATCCCAACACATGTAATGATGGCGTTCATGAAAACACACGTAATGATGGCCTTGATGAAAACGTTGAGACAATAAGATCAACATTCACATTATCGTCACACAATATCAAATAGATCTCTTTCAGTTGCGTGCAGTTTTTAACCACATGTATCACTCCCTTTTCCGTGACGTATTCGCAAAATGTCAATAATAGTTTCAGAAGTCCAAAACAACTCTTTGAGATCTCATAGAGTGTTCTATCATCAACTTTTGTATTAGATAAATCCAACACCTCTAGCTGGTGAACTGTAAAATTCATTTTAAGTCCTCTCACACGAAAACAAGAGTCCAAGGTTAGATGTCTAAGCTCACAACATCTACTTAAAACATGACAAATACCTTTTTCAGATATGCGATAACAAAAAGTTAAATCGAGAAGCTGCAAATTAGGGAAGATCGAAGCAAACAATATGAGGATCTCGTCTTTTATTAAAGAATTGTTTGAAAAATGTAAAAACTTTAATTGAGGGTTGACATTAAAATCCTTCATAATATCAGAATTTTCCACACTCTCTCCTCCAAAATTATATATGTTTTCCATTGTGATCTCATTAAGTGAATGACAATTTTTAATGAGTGCAAATAAAGCTAATTTAGTGAGGTTGGAATTTTGGCTAAGGTTTATAGATATCAAACCAGGAAGAAGCAAAGAGAGCTGGAAAACATGATGATTATTTAGAAAGTCAACCGGTTGAAGACTCAAATGTTGTATCGCACCACACTTAGATAATAAACCATAAATTCCTGGGTAATTATAGCCAGTACAATTTTTAAGAATAAAACTCTTGAAAGAAAGACCTTGTCTTGCAAAAGAGCAGAGAAAATCATCAGAGATTTGAGAACAATGAATCTTAAGAGAAATCAAACCCTTCAAACTCACAAAGGAATCAATGTATTGTGAAGTAACATAGTTTGGACCCTTTAGGTCAATCCCAAAAATAGATAAAGATTTCAAGGTTGGTCTGTCACGGAGAGCCAAAGCAATGTCTGGATGGAGATCACGGGAGCTGAACCAGAGGTCAAGGGAATTAAGGTTGGAGAATCTATGGAAGAAACGATAGAGAAAACAAAGTTGTGGATGATAAATTCGGAGAGAGAATAGGAGACGGTTGGTGATGGAGAGGAACTGTTTTGAGACGAGAGATAGGGATTTGATGTATTGGGATCCGTCGTCGAGTGGATTGATGATGAATGACAAGACATGCTCCCAGCAATCTTCTGGCAAGTAAAACTCAGGTTCTGTAATTATAATTGAATTTGTAGAAGAAAGCGATTGTTGTGAAGATTTGATACACTTTCTCTTCTTCTTCTTCATGTTTATCTTCATGACGTTGAGGAAGAAGTGAAATTTGTGAAAACATAACTCGTTACTTTTCATGTTGACGATGTAAAGTTGAATGATAATGGAATACTGGTACATTGCACTCACAGATTTATAGCGTAAGGATTACGTAAAATGCGAAACAAAATAACCTATTACTCCGTTAATTCTCATTCAACCTAATCTTTTAAATCACATATTAATTACTGATTTAAAATTTTTAATTAATTATCATATAAGTTTAAAACATAAATAATTTTAATCTCAGGAATCTGCTAATTCTTCAAAAAATATATTTTCTATATAAAGTTTGATTAACATTTTAAATTTTTTATTTTTTTATTTTTAAGTTTGTTGCAATCAAATCAACATCAATAAAATCAGTTTTTAGAATTCCTTAATGTTTGGAATCCGTTTATAGTTTTAAAAAAAGATTAATTGTATTTTATTGAAAATATATTAGCTTAAACTCAAGTGATTATTAATTAATATTTTTAAATTAGTAATCAATATGCAATTTAAAAGTAATTGATATTCATTTGATTATTATGTTATATATCTTTTTGTTTTTATTTACAAATTTGGTGAAGTTGAATTTTAAAAATTTTGCAAATTTTTTCGTGATTTGAATTTAATATTAAGATGAAATCATTTTTTAGTAGAAAACATTATTTGCGTGTATGTGTATGATTTCATTTACTTTGAAAATTTGAATATGAGTGATATTTTAATGTATGCAATATAATTTTATAAATTTGTATTTTTTATTTTGTTTTATGCAAATTTAATTACTTTTTCTATCTCAAAATAAGTCATTTTTTAGTTTGAAAATTTTGTTCTAAAATAAATGTCGTTTTACTTTTTTCAATGTAACATTAATTCATTTGTATCAATTTTACTCTTAATTAATATTGTCTGCACTATTTTTAATGCATTAAATCTCACTTTGTTTTTATGACTATGCATGTGTAACAAATAATAAATATTATCTCTACAATTTAAAATTTTTGGATACATACCCAAAGAGAATTCTTCACATCTTAGAGCAACTTTAATGCAGGGTTGTTAAATCAAAATTCTTTATAGCTTACGTTAGTAATAAGGAATTTGCATTATAGTAGTGCTGACATGGCATATGGGATGCTCTAAAATTAGTTTACGTGCTCTACACAAGCAACGTACTCTAACTCATCATTTAACAAAAATAATACATTTTTATTAATTATTTAAAATAAATAATAGATTTTTATTAACCATTTAATACCATGTGGGGTCAAGTTTTGGTTTCTTATAGACAACCACCATTAAAGTAAAAACTACTCAAATCAACTATAAATTTTTTAAATCCTATAAATCACTTTGGACCCACAAAAAGTATCTTAGTTTACTCATTTAGTTTACTCCCACTAAAGATGCTCTTATACTCAAACAAAATAGTCACAGTAACAAATATCATTAAATGACTCTTTAAGTGAACAACATATCAGATGATATTAAGTATTTAAAGAAAATGCATTACTTTGAAACTCATTATAACAAATGCTAGAGAGTAGAGTATGTTACACCATATCACTACGTCAGAGTAAAAAAATTTAACTATGTTTAGATGATCAAAATGACAATTACATATTTGTAAGTGTTAAAGTTAAAGTATTAACAAGTGTGAGTAGGGTGGATAATAGTCCCACATTGGATAGAAATGTGGTGACTTGAGCATTTATAAGTGAGAGAACCCATACACCTATCACCTTAAGGTTTTGGGTGAGTATGTGGTGTGTCTCTCACAAAGGTTGCTCTAGAAAAAGTCCCACTATGTTCAATGCTCCCAAGTTGAAAGTCCAACAGTGGTATCAGAGCCTGGTTCGAATAAAGGGAACGAATTACTTGTATCGAAAGTATCCCCACAGGTTGTGGGTTGAGTGTCTCGTTGAAGAGTGTCAACGGCGGTACAACCTGTGGGTTGAGTGTCTCGTTGAAGAGTGTCAACGGCGGTACAAGGGTGCAGTTGCACAGTTGAAGTTTCCGCTTAAGGGAGAGCATTGTGGATAGACTCACACGTTGAAGAGTGTCAACGGCGGTACAAGGGTGCAGTTGCACAGTTGAAGTTTCCGCTTAAGGGAGAGCATTGTGGATAGACTCACACTTGAGGGAGAGTGTTAAAGTTAAAGTATTAACAAGTGTGAGTAGGGTGGATAATAGTCCCACATTGGATAGAAATGTGTTAAAGTATTAACAAGTGTGAGTAGGGTGGATAATAGTCCCACATTGGATAGAAATGTGGTGACTTGAGCATTTATAAGTGAGAGAACCCATACACCTATCACCTTAAGGTTTTGGGTGAGTATGTGGTGTGTCTCTCACAAAGGTTGCTCTAGAAAAAGTCCCACTATGTTCAATGCTCCCAAGTTGAAAGTCGAACAGTAAGTTACGTAGCATTATAAAAATGAAGGCATATCTCATTGAAACAAATCTAAAAAAAAAAAACATCTTATATTAAAGAATCAATATTTCGGAATCAAAACAAATTTAAAAACAAAAACTATCTTTTATTTAATAATCAAAACTTCAACAAATAATGTTAGAACACAAATTGGTGTTTAATATATCTCTATGTTTTGATGATAACACTAATGAAATTTTGTATTAGGAAAATATATACTCTAATTTTGCTCAAGTGTTTTTGTCTCAGATATTAATTTTAGTACTCTTATGGAAGCAAAAATGCATCTGAACAGTACTCTACGCAAGGCTCTGAAGCATCAGAAGCAAGTCATCAGGAGACTCTGAAGCAGAAGCTGCAGAAGACTCTGAAACAGAAGCTACAGAAGACTCTAAAGCGTAGTTGAAGTATTTGTATGAAGAGTTTCAAGCATTGTTTTTCAGAAGACTCTGAAAGTACTTTACGCTGTAAGTACAGAGGATCTGATCTCCAAACTTTGCTCTGATTGATATTCACGCTGAAGCACATTGGCTGCAATACTCTGATAAACTCTGATAACACCAAGACTCTGATACCACTAACTCTGATGTTAATAACTTTGAGATATAAGCTTGTTGAAGGAGATATTATTCAAAGATATATCAGTTGACTTATTCCAAATGACTCTTTCCTTATTCATATATGGCACAGGAAAACAGACAAAAAGGATTTGTCTGAACATTCCTCTTCTGGGAAAGCTAGAGTCAATAGAAGACAAAAGGCTACAGCTGTTATGTTACGCACAGTCTTCAAGTATTGGACATTCTTCTCTATAAAAGCAAGTTTTCACCAACATTTCAAAGTTGACGAAACCATTGATGAATCCTTGAGAAATCAAATTGAAACTACTCACAAGCTTTCATACAATATTATTTCATAAGCTGAATTGTTTTATTCGTTCTTCAAACTAAGTGTAAAAATCACAGTTGTGATATAGCTTTTTAGAAGCATCTTAAACACTTGTTAGTTTACATTTATTTGTAAAAGGTTCCTTAAGAAGACCAAGTTGTAGTCAGGATTTCTTGAGAAGACTAAGACAGTTGTTTTTAGTGGTTGACACTGTAATCTATTTGAATATAGTGGATTAAGTCCTTGTTGAGAAAGGCTAATCACCTTGATAGGGTGAACTGGATTAGTTGAGCTCAACGAACCAGGATAAAAATACTGTGTTGTTTTTATTGCCATATTATTTTCTAAACCCTTATTCAACCCCCCTTCTAAGTGTTTTTCCCACCTTCAGTTGGTATCAGAGCTCCGACTCTGTAGTGCTAATCACTTAACCGTGAAAGAGAAAAGATCCAGTGGGAAAACTCTTGATAATTTTTTGGTTGATACATTATGGTTGAAGCTTCAACATCCTACAACAAATATGAAGACAGAGATAGAATCAACACAAAACCTCCCATGTTTGATGGTGAGAAGTTTGACTACTGGAAAGATAGAATTGAAAGCTTCTTTATAGGATATGATGCTGACCTTTGGGACTTAGTCATTGATGGTTATGTTCACCCCACTGATGGGGATGGCAAAAAGATTGACAAAAAGTCAATGAATGAAGCTCAGAAGAAAGAATTCAAGAATCATCATAAGGCAAGAACCATTCTACTAAATGTTATATCTCATATTGAGTATGAGAAAATTACAAACAGAGAAACAACATTTGGTATGTTTGAGTCTTTGAAGATGACTCGTGAAGGGAACTCCCAAGTTAAGGAGACCAAGGCTCTGGCGCTGATCTAGAAATATGAAGCCTTCAAAATGGAGGAATCTGAATCTGTAGAAGCAATGTTCTCTAGATTCCAGATTCTCACTGCTGGCTTAAAGGTTCTGGACAAAGGCTACTCCACTGCTGATCATGTCAAGAAGATCATCAGAAGTTTGCCAACCAGATGGAGATCAATGGTCACTGCTCTGAAGCTTGCAAATGATCTGAACAAGATCACGCTGGAGGAATTGATCAGCTCCTTTAGGAGTCATGAGATTGAACTAAAAGAAGACGAACCTCAGAAGAAAGGTAAGCCTGTTGCTTTAAAGTCTAACAAATATGTCAAAGCTTTGCAGGTTTTAGAAGAAAGTTCTGAAGAATCTTCTTCTGAAGAAGAAGATGAACTGTCCCTGCTGTCCAGAAGGATCAACAAACTCTGGAAGCATAAACAAAAGAAGTTCAGAAACTTCAAGAAGCCAGATCAACGTAAAGAGTCTTCTGGACACAGAATATCTGGAAAGAAAGAGGTGGTCTCTACTATGAGTGCAAGGAACCTGGGCACTATAAAAATGAATGCCCAAAACTTATGAAGGACAAGCCAAGAAAGAAGTTTGATAGTAAGAAGAAAGTCCTGATGGCAACATGGGATGATTCAGATGCATATGAATCTTCATCAGAATCAGAAGAGGAATGTGCAAACATGACACTCATGGCTGATGTGGAAGACCATGCAGAAACATCTGGATCTGAATCTGAATATAATTCTGAAGAGGTATTTTTTGAACTTTCTAGAGTAGAACTTATTGAGAG